ATATATATATTTTTTTCTCAATTTATCAAACTAACTTTCCTTATATAACTTTTTTTATATGATAGATATAACTCTTATTAGCATTCTGATTGTAATATTATTGATTTTCACTAGGTAAATTGATAGTTGTGATTTTCTAAAGTTAATGAATAATACATATTTTTTTTGTATTTCATTGATTATTATATTTCATATATAACATTGAATTGCATATAAAAATAATAATATGGCAGATATATTATAAATGTGGCATTTGCTTATATGCAAGAAAGATTGTCTATGAATATTATAATTAAGATGAGTCGACTATTAAAACATAATATCATGTACAAGAGGGTGAGCCGACGGGCTTTTCTTTAAATAAAATGTTTGTAGTGTAATCAAGGATGTTTACTCTATAATCAATTGATTGATTATGCCGATGAATAGAGAGTGTCAACTCTTCATTTATTTATTAAAAACTCACTTGTTAAAATAAATTATTAATAAAAATAATTGAACGATGCAATTGACAAATAATAAAGGATTGATATTATTAGAACAGAAACACAAATCTGTATGTAAATAAATGTGTTATCCACGTGTCCATCTCTAACTGGTTTAGCTATATTATAAGCTCTGTATTTTCCTTTATAAAAGGTCTTGTCTGTATCGTCTTGAACAAGAAAGATAATAAAGTCTTCTTTCATTTCTTCTCTGGTTTCTGAAACTCTAAGTTTCTTCATGGTATCAGAGCGGGCGATTAGGGCGGGAGATCAAAATCGCAGATAATGGCTAACTCTTCCTCGTCGGCAATCCAAGAAGAAACGGAGACAATGCAGCAAGAAGAGCCTACCATCTCAGCCAGCCTCAAATTTGTGGTTTCAAATATCAAGAACATAGTCTCTACTGAACTCAATCAAGACAACTATGCCGTCTGGAGATCGCAAGTTCTCAAAATCTTCAGCGCAAATGGCTTTGCCAAGTTTCTTGAAACATCTTCAAGTTCTTCCTCCACGTCATCTTCTACTTCCGCAGAATCAAACCAAACGCGCTCGAATTCGGCGCAATGGAGATTAACGGATCAAAACCTCTCTGCATCTCTATGCTCAACAATCTCGGCATCCATACTTCCATACGTCATAAATCTTGCGTCTACAGCTGCGATCTGGTCTACTCTTGAAAACAGATTTCAAGCAACCAATAGATCTAAAGTTCTGCAACTAAAGAACGCTCTGCATCATATTTCAATCAAGAATCTGACGATGACTCAGTATCTAACTGAGATAAAGATTATAGTCGATCAAATAACAGCTGCAGGTGCTTCGATTGACAATGAGGATATCATTATGTATATCCTCAATGGTCTATCTCCACAGTATCAGGCGTTCAAAACAGCATTTCGTACAATGCTCAGCCCGATCACCTTAGATCAATTATATCCTCTTCTTCTCAGTGAAGAAATTAATCTTGCGTCTGATGCCGCCAGAAACTCTGCATTTACTGATTCAAATCTGGCACTCTATGTGTCGCGTGGAAGAGGGAGACGCAACCGTGGACGCTCCTCGCAGCAAAATGGTTCTCAATCCAAGCAATCAGCTAACCCAACGATCTGTCAAATATGTCTCAAAAAGGGACACTCTACATCAGACTGTTGGCATCGTATGAACGCACAATACGTTCCCCAAGTTCAGTCGCAAAACAAGGCGTTGGCGGCAACATCAGACACCTCGCAGAACAACTGGTTCTTGGACTCGGGGGCTACATCCCATCTAACAAATTCACTGGACAATCTGCATCTCTCGGCACCTTACAACGGAGCAGAAAATATTATAGTCGGAGATGGAAGAAACGTCAATATTACGAACTCAGGGGTCGGACTCCTACCGACCCCAACTCGTAAGCTGACACTATCTAACATCTTTCATTCCCCTGAACTTCGGTTTAATTTACTGTCCATTTCAAAATTAACTCGAGATAACAATATCTCGATTACGTTTAACCCATATGGCTTTGTCTTGAAGGATCTGAAGACGCAGGAAACTCTTCTGCAAGGACCATGTAAGAATGGCTTGTATCCAGTTAAAATGGCCTCAGGAGAAAATTCGCATAAAGTCTTGGCGGCAACTACTCAAGACGCTAACATCTGGCATCAGCGGCTGGGCCATCCTCATGAAAGGATTATGCAAACTATAGCTAACCGAAATAATCATCTTAGTATAAATAAACTGTCTGTTTCGTGTTCTACTTGCAAAGAATCTAAAAGTCACAAACGGTCGTTTGAAAAATCTTTAACTAGTACAAAAGCTATTCTTGATCTTGTTCATTCTGATGTTTGGGGACCTGCCCCAGTTATTTCCAATCAAGGCTTTAGCTATTACGTATTGTTTGTTGATGATTTCTCTAAATTCTCTTGGATATTTCCTATGCGAAGCAAATCTGAAGTATTTTCTGTTTTTATTGCTTTTAGAACACAAATTGAGAAATATACTTATAAATCTATTAAAATGATCAGGACCGATGGAGGCAAGGAGTACGTTAACCATAACTTCAAGCAATATCTTCAAACAAACGGCATAGCTCATCAAATTTCTTGTCCATCTACGCCTGAACAGAACGGTGTATCAGAAAGAAAGCATCGGCACATCATCGAAACATGTCGCACTTTACTTTATACTGCATCGGTCCCGTATTGTCACTGGCCAGAAGCTGTTCTAACGGCTGTTTACCTTATCAATCGTATGCCATCGCTTGTTACACACAAGAAATCTCCGTTTGAACTGTTACATAAAACTACACCCAGATATGATCATCTTAGAACATTCGGTTGCGAATGTTTCTACTTACTCCCACCCCACGCTCATCATAAATTGCAACCTAAATCCAAATCTGCTGTCTTCCTTGGGTACTCGGATACCTACAAGGGGTACAAATGTCTTGATCCACTCACCAACAAGATTCACATCTCAAGACATACAGACTTCAACGAGGCTTCTTTTCCATTCAAACAATCAGCTCAAACACACAGTCAACCTGTTACACCATCTTTACCTTTTCTTCTTCAACCAACGTCCACTATTCATAACTCAAGCTATACTATTGCTCCCACAAATGTTCCCAAGACAACTCAACCTCCGCCAAACTCAACTCAGCCTGATTTTCAATCTACTCAACAACCCGTATTGGACAACACCACCCAATGTCCTACGGTCCCTAGACATCAAATGATAACAAGAGCTAAAACAGGCTCTCTCAAACCCAGATCTCGGTTGAATTTGCTGCACACTCAACATCCCACAGATATGGTTGAAGCTCCCACAAACTACGCTACAGCAGCAAAATATTCTGAATGGAGAACAGCCATGGCAAGCGAATTCTACGCTCTTCAGAAAAATGGGACCTGGACGCTTGTCCAACCACCACCCAACTCTTCGATACTCGGTTGCAAGTGGACTTATAGGCTCAAAAAGCATGCGGATGGAACAATAGCCAAGCACAAAGCAAGACTTGTAGCTCAAGGGAACACTCAAGAATACGGTCTTGACTACACAGAGACATTCAGTCCGGTGGCCAAGTTACCTACCATCCGAGTATTCCTCACTGTGGCTCTTAACAAAGACTGGACGGTACACCAAATGGACGTGGCAAATGCGTTCTTGCACGGTAGTCTCACGGAAACGGTTTACATGACTCAACCTAAAGGCTTTGAGGATACAACCAAGCCAGATCATGTATGTCGTCTTAACAAAGCTATCTACGGCTTGAAACAAGCTCCACGTCAATGGTACAACACGTTCACGTCATATCTTGTATCTATTGGTTTTTCACATAGCACTGCTGATCCTTCCTTACTTCATTACAAACATGATTGCATACAAATTTTTTTGTTAATGTACGTTGATGATATTCTTTTGTCTGGCAATAATTCAAAAGCAATACACTCTGTCATTGATCAGCTCAATCAGCGGTTTAGCATGAAGGACCTGGGAGTAGCTAATGACTTTCTAGGCATTAAAATTGATTACTTTAAACAATCCTGTTTTCTTTCTCAGAAACAGTATGCCGTGTCATTGCTAAAGAATGCCCAGCTGACCGAATGTCATGCACTTGCCAATCCAACATGCACGAAGCTGCCTCTGGTTTTTCCAGAAGATCCTGTACTTTCCGATCCTCAAACTTATCGTCGGTTAACAGGTTCTCTACAGTATCTTACACTGACTCGCCCAGACATAGCATACAGCGTTAATCAACTATCCCAACACATGCATAACCCACTTCCTCAGCATATATATCTTCTTAAACGACTTCTGAGATATATTAAAGGTACGTTAGACTATGGAATACCAATTACCAAATCTAACTTAGCTCTTCAATCTTTTTCAGATGCAGATTGGGCGGGTGATCCAGTTTCAAGGAGATCTACTACGGGCTATTGCTCCTTTCTTGGCAACACCATCATATCGTGGACTGTCAAGAAACAACATACGGTGGCTCGATCCTCCACAGAGTCTGAATATAGAGCACTGGCTGCGCTAACGGCTGATGTTATTTGGATCCGCAGGCTTCTTCAAGACTTCGGTATCAATCAAACTCAACCAACGGACATGTTCTGTGACAACGTGTCAGCAATAGCATTGGCAAACAATCCAGTTTTTCACGCCAGAACAAAGCATATAGAGATTGATCAGAAATTCATCAGGGATCACATTCACAACAATAATATACGGCTTCTTCCCATAAATACAATTGATCAAATAGCCGATATTTTTACAAAATCATTATCTACACCAAGATTCACCACCTTTAGGACCAAACTAACGGTTACATTGCACCCATTAGTTTGCCAGGGAATATTAGAACAGAAACACAAATCTGTATGTAAATAAATGTGTTATCCACGTATCCATCTCTAACTGGTTTAGCTATATTATAAGCTCTGTATTTTCCTTTATAAAGGGTCTTGTCTGTATCGTCTGGAACAAGCAAGATAATAAAGTCTTCTTTCATTTCTTCTCTGGTTTCTGAAACTCTAAGTTTCTTCAGATATGATCGATGACTAACATATAAAAGGATGGAAAACGTCATTTCAAAAGCTGTATGTCCTACCTTGATAGTCATAATTATACAACGTTTGTATTTACATAATAGCATATTAATTGATTGAGTTGATTGATAAATAAAACCGATAGAAGTAGCATTGAAACTGATATAATATGATAGATATATTAATAGATGGTGAAAGACATATTGATAAGCATGTTGATAGACATATTGTGAAAGCTAGTCTTTCTTTTGTTTTCCTTCCAGGTTCGTCCGGACGAAGTGGAGTTCGTCCGGGACGATCAGTTAAAAATTTGGTGACAGAGAGCTTCATCCCAGGACAAAGGTATGTTCGTCCGTACGAAATTTGTCCAGAGAGTATCGTTCAGAAAAAATAATTAATTTTCGTATGGACGATTGGAGTCCAGAGGAGATCGTCCCGGGACGATCGGGGCATCGTCCTGGACGATCCTGTTTGATAAATATCCGATTTGAGATATTTTTGAAGGAAGAGAAAGAGGAGGAGAGAGAAAAATGAAGGAAGAGGAAGAAAAAGTGGATTTTTGGCGACTTTGGTCCATTTTCGTCCGTCGCCGTAGTTGGGAAAGTTGATCAACTCAAGGTAAGGCACATTATGCCTTTCTCAATTTTCAGAATGTGGTTTTTGACGGATTTCTTGTTTCGATTTCATTTCCGTTAGCCTAAAAGTGATTTATCTTTGTATCGACGACTTTTACCGTGTAACTTTTGGTATGTTGTAGAGATGATGTTTTTGCACGTTTTGAGTATTTTCTGGAAAGTTTTCACCTGGTAGTTTGAATTATGTGGAGTTTTTATCGAATAAAAAATTATCTAGATGTTGGAAAATATTGCTTCAGTACAATGAAAGTCTTGAAATGATGTTTTCTACGATCTCTCGTAATTTGATAATTTTCTGAAACTGTGAATTTTGTTATGTTGAATTTTCGTTGTCTGCCGTTATACTCTCCGACAATTTTCTAATACGAATCTGATTTCTCTGAATCTGATGTGATTTGATGTTCGATGTGGAGAAACATCTTGTCGTAAGCATATTCTTCGACCGATTTTAATAGTTACAATTTTTTGTTATACTTAGTTTAATGATTAGTTTTTGGACACCCAAATCGACCTCAATGATCCGGCTATTGATCAAATTCGATATAGAAATAATCGTCATAAATGTTTTTTTAATGTTCTAGATAGGAGTTTTTGAGTTTGAGTCTTACATATGTGATGTGGGTAAGTTTGTCTTAATTAATTGGTGCCTAAATGTCCTTAAAAAAAAGGAAAAAATAGTCTCAAATAAGCTGTAGCATACGAAAAACTATTATGTGCGGTCAGCGAATCGTCTGGAGGCAATCAGTATGTTTCATGCCATTTGGTAACACAGTCAAGATATACAATAAAATGATGATGTGATATGTCTTGATTCGTCTCCAAACAGCATCTGATGATCGCACCTAATAATTTTTCCTAAGAGACAAACAAGTCATGGATGTAAGATCTACACTAAAGTTGCATGATAGATTATTTATCCAATGAAAAAAAACAAAGAAATAACTTATAGAAAAAATATTAGAAGTTCCTTTTTATGAATAGTTTTATGATCAAAGAGCCATCTGTCGCAGAGCAGTATCATGTTGAATCAGGCATAAAAAAATTGTAATAAAAGCAGTAGCAGAATATGGGAAAAAATACAAAATTAGTATCGCCTACCAATACCTTGTCCTTCCAAGATATTTAGTTCCTCATCCAAAAAAATACAAATTTCTATAATCGAGCGCTTGGTGTCTGGGCATGAACCCCAATTAAGTAAATAACATTGGAAAATGTCTCCAGCAACTTTTTATAACGCAACTTTCTATAAAGCAATATTTTAGTATATGTATTGCAAATGTGATATCCATATAAGTAAAAGTGAGGCAGACTGATCTACCTGCAAAGTTGGCAATATTTTTTTGGGGGCATTTAGGCCATTTAAGGCAAACTCACACACACAACACATACATATAGACTCGAACCTTGAACCTCTTAGTTTGAAGCCAAAGCTCTCTTCGGAGACATCCGATAAAGTTGGCAATATTGACATGCCTCAGGTAACAGGTCACCATCATTGGTCACCATCATTGGTGTAGTTGTTCAATAGAAAGACAGTGACGCCATGTTAGTCCTCTATGGAAGGGTAAATTATTAAGTCTCATCACCGGTCCTAAATTTGTGTCCGGATTTGTGCACTTTTCATGTACTTTTGATGTATTTTTGCAAAAAAAAAAGCTAATACGCAATTTTAATTGCATATTAGTTGCTCTTTTTTTTTCTTTTTTTTTAGATCCCTAAAATATAAAACAATACTAGTTACTTTTTATTGAGTTTTTCAAAATAAAGCAAAAGCGTAGCAAAAACGTAACAAATATCTTATTCATTAAGTATTTGTTGCTCTTTTGTTGCGCTTTTCAAATACTCAAAAAAGGCAGCAAAAGGGCATTAAAAGGGAAGCAAAATGTCTGCCTTTTTGAAAAAAATACATCAAAAGCACAGTAAAAGCGCATGAAAAGCGCACAAATCCGGACACAAATTTAGGTCCGGTGATCGGACCTAACAAATTTGCCCTATGGAAGGGACTCTTTGGTAGCTGGATTTAGGCCGAATTTGAGGCGGATTTGAGCGAAATCAAGCAAAACGGCCAAAAATGCAAAACCAAATCTCATGTAAATGAAAGCCACAGTGGACGGAAAAGTACGTCTTTCATGGTAAATCCCGGATTTCTAGAATCCTCTTATTCGACGGATTTAACGCTCTGTTGGTGTAAGAGGGAAAAAAAACTGCTCGTTTCAAGATTTAACTCTCTACAACCAAACAGTCACACATGATTTAAAAGAATTTATCACCAATGTTATCAAATAATTTTTAGGATTTAATCCTCTCCGAATTTTTTAAATCTGAATTTAGAGGATTTATGATATCATATTTAAATAAAATTCTGGGTGCTACCAAACAGCCAAGAACTGATGAAGAAGAAAAGCCTGCTCTGACACCAACTCTCAACCTTTGCTTCTATATATCTCCTACCAGGCTACCATTGTCTGCAAGCTTTACAACACACAAAGAGAGAGAGAGAGAGAGAGAGAGAGAGAGAGAAATGGAGAAGAAGAGCAGGGTTCTTGTGGTGGGGGGAACAGGCTACCTGGGAAGAAGAATAGTGAAGGCAAGCATAGCCGAAGGACACCCAACCTTCGTGCTGAATCGACCGGAGATCGGACTCGATATAGAGAAGGTTCAGATGCTTCTGTCTTTCAAACAGAAAGGTGCTCGGCTTGTTGAAGGATCTTTCAACGATCACCGGAGCCTCGTCGACGCCGTCAAGCAGGTCGACGTCATCATATGCGCTATCTCCGGCGTGCATTTTAGGAGCCATGAAATCCTCCTCCAGCTCAAGCTTGTTGAGGCCATCAAAGAGGCTGGTAACATCAAGGTGATGATGATCATCTCGTTCTCGATCTCAGTCCAATTTATTTAGTATTTCATATTATTATCAAAATTTTCATTTTTATTTTTTTTAGCTAGAGCATCTTTGCAGCCTAAATATTTTTTAAAAGAGAAATTTTTTAGAATTAACCAAAGACTTTAGGATAATAACAATCTTATTAGTATGGATTTTGATAAGATTTTAATGATTTCAGCAAACTAAAATATAAGAGAAATCATAATGAACTATTTATCAGATCTGTTTGGGACGCCTGAAATGTTTTGTAAAGGGGATTATGAAATTCTTGTGCCAAAAATAAGTTTTTTAAATTTATTATGAATATTATAAATATATTTTTTAAAAAAATGGATAATAAATTTATGTTTTGTTAGGACTGATATCTTACTGTTTTTTAAAATAGTTTTTCTAATAAAAATTTTAAGCTAAGAAAATCTGTGTACTAAAAATATATATTAGAAACATTAAAAAAATTGTCCCAAATAAAATCTTAGCTATAAAAGGAGCTTCTTAATATAGAAATTAAATATTTATATTTGACAAAAAAATGTAATACAGATTTAATAATTAAATATAATTAATATTATAATTTACCCAAATGGGAATATATGATAGATTTTTATTCTTGAATTTTTTTTTTATTATTATCATCATTTTATAATCCTGAAAGGGTCAATTTGTATAGACTGTAGGCCATCCATTTTAAATAATCAGACATAAATATCTCAATAATTGGCAATATGTTAGGTGATCAATCAATTTTTCAACAGGAATTTTTTCTAATTAAATGGTCCTCTTAAAAAAAGGATGGTTGGACCATCTGCATAACTTTTATAATAAAGCTTACCATTCTAAATTTTACAAATATAAACCCAATTATTTTTTATTTATAATGCCATCATTCAAATTATTAAATCCATAAAACTTCTCACTTAAGATCTTTAATTTTTAGGATTATGACACTTTAAAATATAGGATTTCATAATTTATGTTGAATATCTTTTGTTATTTTTGTAAATAGGAAAAAGATAGATTAATTCAAGCATAATTTACTCTTTTTATTAATAAACTATTGTTTTTTGACATTAAGGTTTCATTTGGGACAACTTTTTTATTTATTTCTAAAGAAGTTTTTAGCACAAAAATTTCTAACTCAAGAAATTTTTATATCAGAAAACTGCTTTAAAAAACAGTAAGAAAGTCATCCCAAACGAAGCCTAAAGCCGAGGTCAAAAGTTAAAATCAATTTCACAAATAATAAATAAATAAATGAGTACAATTGAGCATGGTAAATTATAACTCATACGTCACCAAAAATAACCTTGATTAGATACGAATATCAAGGCATATCAAAGTTAGAAACTATTGAAATTAAATTAGGAACCATTCAAACTCTGATTTTAGCAAACTTATAGTCAATTGAATGTGTCAAAGAGACGAAACAACGGCACCAAAATCGGTCAAATAAGATCTCAAATGGGTCCAAATCAAGGGATCGAATCACATTTAAAAAATTCAAAACATAAATTGGATGATCAAATTATATCCAAATATAACAAGCTTATGGTCGAGTCAAGCGGCTCGACGAGACAAAGATCGCTTAATTCTAACATCATTTGAGCACACAAATGTTTGACAAATGTTCTATGGTCAAGGGAATCAATATGGGTCGTCCGATGGAACACTCGGAATTCGCCCCATTCTCTATATTTACAGGGCTCTATATTTACAGGGCATGTCATTCGAAAAAATCTATAAATAGATCCCCTCTTCTCACATGAGGGAGGCTTAGACCTTTTGTTGAATATTAATTGGAGAGAGCTTTGAGACTTCAAGGATCTAAAGCTCCACCCAAGCACCACCACAGGCTGGCCGAACCTCCGTCGACCACTATCAAACTTCTATCCAACCGTCATTGGACCACAGGCTGGCCGCCAACGGCCAACCGCCCCTGATTTTCCACTCGACCATGGTCAGACCACCACCTGACCACCGACAACCACCCGGGCTCTGAATGCCACCGGACTTCTGCACAACCATCATCGTTGGATCTTCGTACAAAACTACGCTAAATTCTATATCCCGTCCATAATAAAAATATTAACTATTGTTAATTAGTGCATGCCTAAGCTTTCAAAGCAGACAATCAGCAGCATGAAAAGATTCAACAAAGGTTTGATTTGGCTGTTTGTAGTAGCTCATATGTCAGAAATGATTATTTTATTTCTTGCTCATTTAGTTATACATGAAATTAAAATAAAATATTATTTTAGGATATTTTGTTATGTTTTATATTAGCACAAGGCAAATTTTATTTTATGTGTTATTAATTTCATGTATCACGTGTTATCTCTGAAGACAACTAAACTATTAGATAATACAACACTACATAAATATTAAACATTACAGGATGAAACTTTCATTATTCTTTTCAAAACAGTTTTTTTCAACTTCAAACAAATACATGTATGAACTGAAAAGAAAGTTAATTTCCCCTTCTATGTTGATAGAGATTCCTGCCCTCTGAGTTTGGGACAGACCCAGCAAGAATGGGGCATGCCTTAGCTCCAGGAAGTGTGACATTTGATGAGAAGATGGTAGTGAGGAAAGCAATAGAAGAAGCTAATATCCCCTTCACATATATCTCTGCTAACTGCTTCATGGGATACTTTGTTGGTGGCCTTTGCCAACTTGGAATGATCATTCCTTCAACTGAAAGTGTAAGCTTATATGGAGATGGCAATGTTAAAGGTAATATTCAAAAGCTTTGCTTCTTTACCTCTTCTTCTTTTTCTCTCAATAGCTTTGCTTCTGATCACTTCATGCATAAATCTTATGTAGCTGTTTTCGTCGACGAAGACGACATTGCATTGTACACTATAAAGACAATTGATGACAAACGCACACTGAACAAAACTGTGTACATCAGACCACCACAGAACATCCTCTCACAAAAACAAGTAGTCATGGCATGGGAGGAGCTCATTGGGAAGGAGCTTAAGAAGACCAGCATTTCAGAAGAGGATTTTCTCTCTAGCATCAAAGGTAACCGAAGCTTCGTTTGGAACGACTTTCTTACTGCTTCTTAAAACATCTTTTTAGTACAATAAATAAAATTTTTATACTAAAAAGCTGCTTTAACAAGCAGTAAGAAAGCCGTCCCAAACCAAGGTTCCATACTTCACAAGCTGTGAAATAATATATGTAAGGTTTATTTTCATGGTTTCAGATCAGGAGTATGCACAGCAGGTGGGAGTGGCACATTTCTATCATTTCTTTTATGAGGGCTGCTTGACCAATTTTGAGATAGGTGAGGAGGGAGAGGAGGCGTCTCAGTTATATCCAGAGGTTGCATACACTCGAGTTAGGGATTATCTCAAACGTTTTGTGTGATTCTGTAATTGCAAACTGGACATTATATAAGTCTTGTACTTTAAACTTTTGTTTGGGATAGCTTTTTTTATTACTTTTTAAAGCAATTTTTTAGTATAAAAGTTTTTTGAACTAAAAAACTGCTTTAGAAAGCAATAAGAAAGTTGTCTCTAAAAAGCCTAAGTGAAAATGATAGATTTGATCTGGAAGAATCTGTTGTTTTGGATCATAAAGATGAACTTTTGTTTTCTAATATAAAACATTTAAAGTTGCTAAGTGATTATAAGTGGAAACAATTTCTTCACCAATGCAATTTTTTATAACCCACATATATATTTTTTCCTCAAAAAATATTAAGGATTAATTTATAGACATAATGCTTTAATATGATATTTTCATCAAGTAATCAAATGAATATATAAGATTTGTTTTACTATGAAATTTGAATTAAAATAGTTATCATAATCTTATTCATTATGGGGGTTCTAACTAACTATTATTTCCACTCATTTCATATATTGTGGAGGTTATAACTGTTCATTATCTCCCTTCATTATTATCGGATTTTTCCAGTGTAGCATATTTCACAAGAAGAGATAAGTGAAGAAATTTAGTGAGGTAAGACCAATAAATTTCATTTCAACCATAAGATGCTCTGTTCACAAACTAAAGAATGAAAACATAGATTTCAAAGAGCTAACACTTTATATTGGTTAGTATTAATTATGATTAAAATGATAGGTAGAATTGAAAATAATAATAAAGAGATCACTCATAAGGAAGAAGAGGTATTAAAATTCAATCAACCTATTAGTGGTGTTAAACCAATAACCATCTTACATGATGTTTAATTGTTGATGATGATTACAAACAAGTTGATAGATTAATTGAATATAGTATAGATGTTGATGAAGATAATGAGTATATTTTATAAAAAATTGATAGTAATTTAGTTATATAAAATACCTAATATGTATATGGTATCCTTAAACCTAAAATTTTGATTTTTGCAATTGAACTTATGTAATTTTCAATTAATTTTGATGAAATCAACAAACTTGACTCACAAGATTGATAATGAGTCTAGTTCAAACTAGCTAGCAGGTCAGCACTGATCATTTATTATAATGTCCCAAGATTAAATTTGAAAGAATTGTTCTTTGTATATTTTAAAATCAACATTAGAGCTATCTATTTCTATTTTATAAGTAATAAAGTCATATCTCAACAGAAAAAAATTCTATCGATCAAAACATCAATATATACATTTATATTTATTTTTCTAAAAATCAAGTACAATACTCATGATCTATATAATCATATCATAGCTATTTTATCCTGAGTATAAAAGAATAGTTAAAATAATAAGAATCTAAACCTAAAATATCTTGATCAATCTCACACTCCCACTCTCTTGCTCTGACCCGAAATCATTTAATCACATACAATAAGCTCAAGATTCTAACATGTAAGAAAATCCTACAACTAAACTCAAAGTACGACAAATGAGCAATATGCATGTTAATATGATTATGAATCAATGCATAAATAGTAAAGCACATATGTAGTAGCAATAAAGTTTGTAACCAATAAAGTGATACGGTACTGAAGTCAGTAAAGTAGTATAATGGAGAAATCAGTAAATAAGTATCAAATCACACAGCACAGAGTGCTCTGCTCCACACACAAACAGATAGTAATAGATCGAACAAAACCAAGCAATATAAGAAAATCAAACAAAGACTTCAGCTTTTGAGATGTTTATTAGAAGTTTAGAACTAAGAAGCTCTCTCATGCTCGCTAGCGCTTCTCCAGCATTCGTTAAATTTGAAGCTTTGCAGCTTCAATAGAAAGGTAAGAGAAATTTTCATCATGGTTCTTATCTTGTGCCCTTCAAGATTTTAAGGGGCTGTTTGGTTGCACCTATGATTTCATTTAAGTAGGATTTCATAAATCCTCTAAATCCGGATTTACGAAATCCTAAGGGGGTTAAAGCCTGAAAAATGTTTGGCAACAGTTATGATAAATCCTGTGTGGATGTTTGACTATTCAATTCAGAATTTAAAGTGGTTAAAAGATTTGACATGTATTTTTAAATAATTAAAACATTTAAGGTGCTTAAAAGATTTAAGGCGATTACTTATTATTTATAATATTTTATAACAATTATTTTCATTAAAATCATATTTAATCCTATTAATTATTTTGAAATTATTAAGCATTTAACTAATAATTTAATTAGTTTTGCTTAATTTTTAATATTTTAAATTATATTAATTAAGTTATCCAACAATAACTTAAGAGGAGTAGGTTTTGCCTTTTGCTTTTCTATTTATTTCGGCTTGGTTCCTTCGCAAGAGTGGAAAGTTTTGCACAAGCTCTTCTTCGTCGTTGTTCGACTTCGCTCCTTCGACGACGTTCCCTTCCTGTTGTAGCGGTAGTTACGACATTTTTTTTATCAAAATCAACAACGGGAGCTCGCATGCTGTGAAGGTAACTTTCTCTCTTTCGCATGCTTCTTCGGCCAAATCCCGTAAATCCGCCGAATCAAAAGATTTCGTAAATCTGGGATTTACGACGAAAAGAGGGAATGGGAACAACTATACTTTTGATTATATTTTTTATAATTTTTTTATTAAATCTTATTTCAAGATCTGCAACTACACTAAAGAAAAATATTATTTGAAGAGTTCTTTAATGACTAGTATTAATTTGTGCCCTTATTAAAAAAAATTTCTTGCTCTGCCTTGATGCTCAGTATCAGTACAATGAACTAGTATCAATAACCAATATAATGAATCGGTAACATTAACATTAATAGTGAAATACTAGTAGAATGAACAACAATTTAGTGATATTATCGATGGTCATATCAGTCCTAATAAATCCAGTGGCAGTAACAGTAAACTAATATTATAATAGTAATCCATACAATGATAATAAATCAATACAGTACCAGTAAAGCTGTACAGTAACAATGAATATATAACATGTATTTCAGTTGTCACAATAAACAAGTATGAAGTTATGATTTAAGCGGTGTTTTACTCGCAAGTAGTAATTTGTTCTTGTATCATATTAGCTAAGTAAACAGAGTCATCACTCTTTGTTCGTCGACACAACAATAACTCGTTATAACTCACAATCAGCATCAAATGAATCTATAGAGGATAACAGCAAACCACAATTTTTAAAAAAATGCCCGTCTGCCCACCGTCATATATAGATCAGTTAGTCTCCATCCAACGTCAATGAAATTAGCTTTTACTTGTCCTCATACGTATTATTATCACAGTATTAATTATAACAATAGTAGCAACCAACTATTACCCAATAACATTCCAATTTTCATTCTCAATATTTGTATTAACAATATACTTAAATAAAAATACTTAATTTTTATACAATGTAAATCATATAAAATTCAATAACTTCTATTTTACCTGATGAAATTCATAAATATTGCATTCAAAATACTTAGGATAATCAGCACGATAACATACAAAAAGTTGTGCTATAAAAGTTTAACAGAGCAGGATAAAATATAGTGAGATCAATTTTGAGGAGAATTCAATAGTCAAAATCTAAATATTAAAAAACGGAGATAAAATTAGAATCGCTTATTTTGATATGAATAAATTTTATAAAAGCGGCAAAGCAATCCGAAGACCAAAATTCAAATTTTTCTTTTTTTTCCCCTTCTTATCTCCCTTGCTTGGCAAGCCGTTGTTGGTTAGGGAAAGGAGGGACGGTGAGTGTCAAAATTACTATATAAAAAATGATTTTTAGTGGGTAGAGCAACAACGCGACCACTCAGCACTGCTACGACACCACTCAATGCTACAACACTGAATTTCAAATCCAAAATTATTGTACAAATAGAGGCTTCAATGTCAACACGACGTCTTCTGGCCTCGCTGTGCTGTAGGTCTAATGCCTCAACGCTCAAAAGATTAGCATTGTTGTGCTCCATTCAAACAGAAATCCATATTTTTTTTTTTTTAATTATTTTTAGAAATTTAGATTGTTACATTTACAATGCTAGATGCTTTGTCAAAAAAAAAAAAAAAACATAAAAACTTAGCGCCTATATACTACACATCGGTGCCTTAATATTAGCTATTATGTCAAATATTTTGAAAAAAAACAACTCAGTACTGGAAAGGGTGATGCCTCAGTATTGTGCTTGGTAGTGCAATATTTTAATCAAGTAAATTTGTAGTATGTGAGTATTCAAATTTTAGAAGTATTATATATTTATATCTACACATATTTTTTTAATAAATAATTATATCTGTTAAAATTATTGGGTCGGGTAAATCAACCCGTTCCAAGTTCTTGAGCCCAACCTGACTCTTTTGGATCCTTTATCCTCTTCTCCGCAGGAAATGATCGCACAGCAAAGGCTGCTCTGCTCCACACACAATCAGGTAAAGTAATAGATCGAACAAAACCAAGCAAGATAAGAAAATCAAACAAAGACTTCAGCTTTGGAGATGTTTATTAGAACTAAGAAGCTCTCTCATGCTCGCTTGTGCTTCTCCAGCATCCGTTAAATTTGAAGCTTTGCAACTTCAATAGAAAGGTAAGAGAAATTTTCATCGTGGTTCTTATCTTGTGCCCTTTAAGATTTTAAGCAATATCTGTGCTAAATTTGTTTTCCTGCGACGTTTTTCGGTGATTGTATGTAGAGATTCCTCATTGCGAGGTTGCACTTTTTAAAATTTACAAAAAAAATGAAAATTTTTTAGGGCATCCGTCCACTTATTCTTTATAAAATCTTTTTACTGGAGTTTCTGTTCGGTAATTAAGGTTTTTTTTTTTTCTGTAGGGAATGGTGAGTTCATAGATAGAATGGGTTCCTTGAGAATTTTTGTTACTTCAGATGTCTATGAATCAAAAAGAACTGTGGGTTCATTTAGGACTTATGATCCAAATGTGAAAGATTGGAGTGGTAATAGCTTTTGCGTGTCACAATTTGGTGTTGGATTGACTGTAAGGAGATGGAAAGGAGAGTATAAATATACTTCGAGATGCATGGATTCTCTTACTTCTCAAAGATTGGAGCAATTTCCAAAGACATTTGCTTTGAGAGTAGTTTTTCTTCCAAGTTCTTGCTTGAACTGGTGTAATTTGAATCCTGGCAGTAGTAGGTCAGAATACATTTATATTCATGCACTGGAAAGGGATGATTTGTCCAGCTTGCAGCCTGAATTAGAAGGCGAGTTTCGACCAGGTGTAGAAGATAATGCAACTTTAATGAAAGGGGGCTGCGCTCTCACGAGCCCAGTTTCTACGTTGGTTCAGCTACGTACGTGCCATCAGAAAAGCAATGTAGGAGAAAAGAACGAGAGAAAAATATGGAATCGGGTTCATGTGATGAATAAAGTAGCACAGAGAAAGGTTTCCAAAGAGCTTTCTATTAGAAAAGTGGGTTCATCTAAGTATATAAGAAATAATGGTGGATGTGAGGCTGTTTTGTCTGCGATAACACCAGAGAGCAGCACAAAACAATGCAACTTCATTCTCAAAGTTCTTGAGCAGAGGAATGATGAAAAGGCAATTCACTTTTTTGAATGGATGAAGAGCAATGGGAAGTTGAAGAATAATGCTGCTGCATATAAGTTGGCTTTACGTGCTTTGGCTAGAAAGGAGGATTGGGTTGGAGCTAACTTGTTGCTTCAAGAAATGACTCTGGCTTCTGATTTAGAATTGAACTCTGAAATGTTTAATCAATTAATATATGCTTGTGCTAAAAGACGACTAGCTATGTGGGGAGCGAAGTGGTTTCGTCTTATGTTGCAAAGTGGAGTTCAACCTAATGTTTCAACCATTGGCATGCTCATGGGCCTTTACCAGAAGACTACAAATCTTTCAGAAGCTGAATTCACATTTAGCTTCATGAGGAGCTGCAACCTTCAATGTGTCATTGCATATTCTGCAATGGTTACAATCTATACTCGTTTGGGTTTGTACGATAAGTCAGAGGAGATCATCTCTCTAATGGACAAGGATGGCGTCCTTCCCAATATTGAGAATTGGTTGGTTCGTCTCAATGCTTATAGCCAGCGAGGGAAGCTTGATGAGGCTGAAACAGTATTGAAGTCCATGACAGAAGCTGGATTTATTCCAAACATTGTAGCATATAACACTTTGATAACTGGTTATGGAAGGATGTCTAACACAAAGGCTGCAGAAAAAACTTTCCAGTGTCTTAAAGGTGCTGGCCTGGAGCCAGATGAGACAACTTACAGATCCATGATTGAAGGGTTTGGTCGAAATGACAATTATAAAAGGACACTGTGGTACTATGAGCAGCTCAAGAGTGCAGGATTTCAGCCAAACTCTTCAAACTTTCACACAATGGTTAATATACAGGCAAGGCATGATTACGAAAAAGGCATCATTCAAACTCTCAGAGACATGAAAAACGCAGGCTGCCAGTATTCATCAATGCTTAGTAGCCTTCTGCAGGCATACAAGAAGGCTGGGAGGGTAGAAATCATTCCTTCCATTTTGCAAAACTCCTTCTACGAAGATATTTTGCTTGACCCAACTGCATGTTCTATTCTTGTGGTGGCATATGTGCAGAAATCTATTTTTGTAGAGGCATTACAAGTTTTGAAGGAGAAGAAGTGGGAAGATTCTAAGTTTGAAGAAAATCTCTATCATTTACTAATATGTTCTTTCAAGGAGGAGAACCAGTATGAAAATGCTATTAAGACCTTCCATCAAATGCCAAAATCGGAACAAAACCCCAATATGCAAATCACATGTACTATGATTGGCATCTACTGTGCAATGAACAACTTTTCTCAGGCTGAAAATCTCTATTTAATGCTCAAAGATTCTGGAATCAGCTTTGACATGATTGCTTACAGTGTGATCGTGCGAATGTACATGAAATCTGGGTCCCTGAAAGAAGCTTGCTTGGTTTTAGATCAAATGGAGAAGCAAAATGATATAGTTCCTGACACATTTCTTTTCAGGGACATGCTTAGAATATACCAGCAGTGTAGCTTGCTGGAAAAGCTTGCAAATGCCTATTATTGGATACTAAGGAGTGGGGTGACTTGGGATGAGCAAATGTACATTTGTGTTATAAACTGCTGTGGTCGTGCGTTGCCTATAGATGAAGTATCAAGGCTTTTTGATGAGATGCTTCAATCTGGTTATGCTTGCAATACAATAACCTTCAATGTCATGCTTGATATTTATGGAAAAGCCGGGGTTCTTCGGAAAGCGAGGAGGGTTTTCTCCATGGCTCGAAAACAAGGCATGGCTGATGTTATCACTTACAACACAATCATTGCAGCTTATGGACAGAGTAAGGATTTCAAGAGCATGAGATCTATTGCCCATAGAATGGAGACTTCGGGCTTTCCAGTTTCACTTGAGGCTTACAATTGCATGTTGGATGCATATGGAAAGGAAAATTTAATGGAGGAGTTCAGTGATATTCTAAGGAAAATTAAGAAAGCAAGCTGTTCTTCTGATCACTATACTTACAATATAATGATGAATATTTATGGCAAGAAAGGTTGGATTGAAGAGGTTTCTCAGGTGCTGGCTGAACTAAGAAGGCATGGTTTGGAGCCTGATTTGTATAGCTATAATACCTTGATCAAGGCATATGGGGTGGCTGGGATGGTTGAGGAGGCAGTGAATGTGGTGCAGGAAATGAGAAATAAAGGTGTTGAACCTGATAGAGTTACCTACACAAACATTATAGCTGCTCTTCAGAGGAATGAAAAGTTCTTAGAGGCTATTAAATGGTCACTTTGGATGAAGCAGATGGGAATATAAAGCTGAAATATGATTTTTTTTTTTCCCTCTGTGCCTGATGGAGGATTCTGGCGATTACGTTCATCTTATTTCTTGTAATAATTCATAAATGGATTGCTCATGTTTCCTTATGGATGTATAGAAAAAACTTTAATGATAAAGATTTATAAAAGTGTTTCATAATCTTATTATTTTGTAATGTTGAAAATTTTTATCTTATGGCATCTGTAAGATTGTCATTCTGTATAGCAGTTTTATGAGAGTGCCTCTTACAAAACTTTTGAACTAAAAATTTTGTACTAAAAAATTGTTTTATAAAACAATAAAAAAATTGTCTCAAATAAACCTTAAATGTGATCATTAGTTGATTTTTCAGCAAATCAATATCGTTGTTCAGGTTTGAGTAACTGTATCTCATATTATAATAATCATATCTGATGTAATAATTAAATTTATAAAGTGATGATATAATTATGAAAAAAATAACTTATATAAATGTTATAATAATATTAGTAATTACTTTTCAAGGTTTAATCAAAATTTAGCACTAGCTTACTAACTTTTATAATTTATGTAAATAATAAATATCAATAAATATTAAAAACTTCAAATAAATTCTCAAAAAATATGTATAAATTTGTAATATTATAAAATATAATTTATATCAAATATAAGTATGTGCTCATCATCTTTGAGATCATTGGCTAGATAAACTAAATCAATTTATTACGAAAAACCTCTAAGAGAAAACACTAAGCTACTTAGACATTAGAGACCTTATAACTTCACTCGAGTCTTCTTAACTGGCACTTGTAAGTTCTCCTCTAAGTGACCAAAACTCCAACTTAAATCCTGAAATCATCACATCTTCTCAGAGATGTTAGGATTTAATGGAGACAAAAAAAGGAATTCGATCATCTCCGAAACACGCGTCAAATCATCGAGAAGAATTTTTAGAAGCGTACCTGAATCCATTGTAATGCAGAATTAAGATTTTCGGTCTTCCACGTTTAGAGCGGTGTTCTCCAAGAGAGTGAGAGACTCCTTCTTTTCACTCAAGATGAGAAATGAAAACTTCAGCACTTAAACTGGGGACCACGACCTTTTTATATTTTAAGTGTATTTATTTTATTTCAGCCCATCATTAAAATAAAATAAATACCCGGCCTCTACACAAATTAATTCCATACAAAATTAATTGAGATGCCACATAAGCCAAATAATAATTTAATACTTAAATAGATCACAAATTTAATTGGCTTAATTTTAGATAGCTTATAATGTACAAAACTTTATTTATATGTATAAGTATATGGACCTACTTATAGAAATTTCCCAACAATGGATGCTTGAAGGAGATTAACTTGAAATAAATACTTAGCAAATTATTAGATTTCATCATATAATAGTTGTTATCTTCAAATTAAAGCTTTATTTGGGACAACTTTCTTACTGCTTTCTAAAATATTTTTTTATTCTCATACATGTTTCATATCATTCTCGTTGAGTTCATCTGCTAATAAAGTCGTGTATCATCTACAGACAAATTTGAATCATCAATGAAAAAACTCTGAATATTGAAATTCTATACGAGATCCATGTTGGGAAATTTCTATATGTGGGCCAACATATTTTATACATATAAATAAAGTATTATACATTATACGCTATCTGAAATTAAGCCAATTAAATTCGTGATCAATTTAAGTATTAAATAATTATTTGGCTTATGTGGCATCCCA